GGAAGAGGTAACCAAGCCCACGCACTACATTCTGTAGCATCACTCATGCCAAAAAAGTATCTTGATTTTCTTGAGGCTCCACAATATTTAAATTCCTATATAGGGCAAGTAATGCTCGAACATTAACTGAAGGACAATAGCAAAGCTGTTATTTAAATGTTAGATACTTCTTGAATGCGCTCTCATTGCAAAAGCTGAAACAGCAGTGAGTTGGGGCGTAAGGCCTTGAGTCTGCAAAAGGTTAATATGGGACAGACTACGCAATTAGTAATGCAGTCCTCGAATGAGGTGGATCAAAGATGTCTCTGCCAAAGGACAGACCAAAATAGTTAGTATACTTACATGTTTGGATGAGGTGGGCTGAACTCGTGCTTCTACTAGCAACTGGGCAGCATTAGACTTGTGCCTGAAACGGGCAATTGAAGAGCGATCAAATCAATTTCTGAAGGCTTTTTGCTTTAATTTGATCCTTCTCACCTGAATAAATAATAGGCTCTGTGCGAATGGTAGCACAGGCTTCAAGGAAAGCATAACTGTGTCCTGTGTGAGGCTCTCACACAGCGAGTGGAACTCTCATCAAAAAAAACCTTTCTGATAGTTTCTTCAAAATCAGAAACAGGGATAACATTTCACCCAATAATGGACCAACATTTCCCTTACAGAAAAATATCCATCAAGCGCTATAAGTCTCCCACCTGCCTCCCCCTTAAGTTGCCAGAAAAATAACTTTTGAGGATAAGATTTCCTACCCACATTAGCATTTTCACTGCTAGATCAGCCCTAAGCCATCACCCATGATAACACACTGCAGTGAGGCTCCTGGAATATGAAGCTGTCTATCAGCAGCACTAGAATTAAATATGCCCTGCTGTTTGTGATTTCCACCGCAGTGGAGTGCCTTCATCTCCAATAAAAATTCACCAAAGAATTCAGACAATAGAGTGCAGCACCAGTGTTTTGACTGGGCTGTAAACTTTCCCTTCCCACTAGCACTTTTTAGTTGTATTAGGGATTACTTCAGGATGTCACTTTACAACAAATGCAACCGTAGAAGGAAGACAGAAATTTGAGGACCAGATCAACCAGGGAACAACTTACAAAGTCACAGCTTTAGAAATAAACCCTTCCCCGAACTTCCTCTTGTTCAAATCTGGTTAGTTACCCAGCAGAATCGGTCAGAGCTGCTACGGATGGACCTCACCCTCCACATTCCCCAGAGAGGGGCTGTCACAGGAAGCATGGTAACCAAGAAGCACACAACATGCTAGTTACCAGAGATGCTGCAACAACAGCCATACGAAAGACCCATTTCCCATGTTATCTGGATGAAGTTGCTGGCTAACAGGGCCAAAAATGGCATGGCAGAGCGAGTCAGACTGATGCACTCTCTATTTTCAGACAATGTTCAGCTCTGAGCCAGTATTTTCTGGAGGGGCTGCCAGACAGCAGTGCCTCCTGACACACTTCCTGTGCACACTTGGGCAGAGTCCGAATCCTCCTCCTGAAATCAGCTGGAGGATTTCATTGCAGTTCAACACTAATCAAAGGACAAATGAGCTGCCGCACCGCTTCCCAGTTCCCTCACATCATCTCCTGCTGTTCTCCAAATGCTAAGCAGATTGGAAAAAGAAAAACCCCACCACTTATGTCCAGAAGGAGCAAAAGCCTCAACACAAATTTATTATTAACTTGTGCATCAGCATAGGTTCAGTACTCCTTCATGCTTTACGGCTCAGCTTTTTCTCAATAGCAGAACTCTTACTAGAAATAGATTCAAAACAGAACATATGTTCTCTTTATATTTGTTAAAATAAATAATTATAGATGCAGCTCTCAATCTGTTATCTCAACGTTTAAGCTAAACGCATCTAAAGGGTTCCCAGCACGACGATAATTCCTCAAATTGAAAGGCATCCGCCACCACTACCCTCTCCTTGTTGACAATTCTTTACAGGCAGTGCAGTCTCAACAAAACAATGTTTCTCCTCCCTGGAACGGAGTGTGTGGCCTGCTTTCTGGTCCAACGGCACTTGTCTAAGGACACCTGTAGAATATCTTGCACATTCTTGCAAAGAGAGGGGGGAAAAGCATGGAGCACAGAGGGGTGAAGACTACTTGCACTTACCTTTCCAAAATCTCTGAGATTTGCCAGTGGAAACTAACTAATACAAGCTTAGCAACAGCATGCGATACCTGGGTGGAAAAAAAAAGAAAGGTCATATTCTTAAGGGCACATCTCTGCTTAGGACTATGACTTCCTAAAAAGACTAATAAATTGTGCAAATTAGAATAGCCCAGTGACAGCCAATTCCCAAACTATTAGACATAATTCAGTTTTGACAGTCAGGTATACCTGTAAACACACATGTAAGAACGGATGTACCCAAGCAAACTCCTGTACTCTTAGCAATCTAGTCACAACAGCACACAGAGGAAGGAAACGAGAAGTCACTAGATCTGCTCAATCACTCATGGATGTCCAACTTCCAGTCCTGACCATGGTTGCCAGTCGAGAGGCCCAGACTGGACTCAGATCAGGGTCTTTGCTAACTAAATGTTAATAAGTAGGTTACACAAGGGCAGATACCACTTACTTAGCTAGAGAAGCAGTAACAAGCTGCAAACACAGACCTGTTGTAACAGCAAACGGTAGAGGGGAGGAAAAAAAAAAAAACATTTTCCCAAGCCTTTAGTATTGAGAGGAAAGCTCTACACTGGAATAGAACAGGAAGAGGGAAAGCTACCCTGACAAGGACTATTTCCACGCAGAGCTGCTCGCGCTACGAGCGCTCCTGGCAAGCTCTAGCATGGTCCATGCTAGCCAGAGCAAGCGTTTGAGCACTCTCTAGAACACTGCAACAAGATGTTTAAAGTCATGTTGCAAGGGCACAGGCGAACAACTTCCTCTTTACTTCTATGCAGTGATTTATTTCAGAAGAAAACAGATTGCTCTGCTAGCACAAAGAGGCTTGCAGTCACCAAGATCACAGGCATCGACTGAAAGGCCGGACTTTCAGCCAGTCACTTGCTCCCCTTATGCCTTTTGTAAAGCTCATGGAGTTCAAACAAAGCAGGTCTCCTGCAAACAAACACTTCTCCACGGGAACCCAGAAAGCTCAAAGACTCCTGCCTCCTCGCTAGGAGCACGCGGGCAAGCCCAGCAGTCCGCACGTTCCGCATTCAAACACTCTCTGAAATTAAAGGGCTCTATTTCCCCCACTGTGAGAGAAACTATCACCATAGCATCTGGCTCCCTCTACTACCCATACAGAAAACACAGCTGCATCTAACTCAGCTGCAGGAAAAGTCCCTTTTTTCTAGAGGAGCTGTCAGGCCTAAACCTTCAGCTGAAAAGCCATAAGCCATCTTGAATCCTGCTACAGTTGAATCATGGAATCCAACATACCGATACGTAGATGCTCAATATAATCAGTTCAGAAAAAACAAGCAATAGTTGCTCCTTCCACAAAACAGACGGGCTCTGCACGAATGCTGGCAGCATGCTAATTACTTCTCTAAACCTCCCCCCGCAAGAGGTGCAGTTTCACAACACAGCTGACCTCCTCCTGCTGTGCGGTCCCGTGCCAGCACTGCACTGGCATTTGTCAGCGTCGGATGGTCAGTCCAGGGAGCTAAACCGGCACAACGCTGCCGTCCTGCTCAGGCAGACGAGCGCTCGTGCAAGGACAGGGCGCGGAGAAAAGCGGGGCACCGGGACCACCCAGCCATTCGGTCAGCTTTACTCAGTGGGACGTGGCAGGAGGCACTCAGCATTTTTAACTGGCTCTTATCCACCTCTACTTTTTGATTTGCCAACCTTGCTGGCCGCTAGGAAATCCCAATACTAAAAGAGTAATTGTCAATGCTCGAAGAATCCTATTTCTACGAGAACTGAAGCACTGGTGTAGTGCTCTCTGAGATCTGGTATATCACCTTCCTTGACTTCACCAGCGATGTGACCCTTGGAAAACAAAGGCCAGGCGTGCAGGGCGGCCCTCACGGCCAGCGCAGAGACCTTTGGTTACACGGAGAGTGGCACGCGGGGCCCTGCTGCCGACAGCACGTAGTCGGCTCGGGTTTGGATGGGTGAGGTGCCACTGCTGCTTCCCACGGGCTGTTATCTTAGCCCTCCGCCTGTCAGAGCCGGGCAGGAGCTTTAACTCCAGACAGGCACTTTCGACGTGCTTGTACAAGGAAAACATCTGCATTTCGCTTCTGTAAAGCAAACAAGCACCAGGAACACGGTCTCTACAAGACTGGCTTCCTGCAAATGCAAACCACATGCTAATGAATCATTCCCTAACAGCAACAATTTCTCAGTAGCAGTACGGAAGAACTACCATCCTGACAAAGGAAAAAACAGTCTTAAATGGGAAGTTCATGTGTAACACATGAAAATTAATGTCTTTCAGTTGGATTTTCACAGCCTGAGGTGTAGCATCCATTGCAGCATCGCACTGCCCTAACAATGACTCCATCAACAGCGCATGAAGTTATTTGTTTCCAGAGAAGAAACCAATTAACAAGTCTAGTCAAGAATGAAGAAGTATACAAATACCAATGTTGGCATATGCACCTCTGAAGTCTAACAAACTACCCTAACACAATCAAATGCTTTTGAATCAAATTATTTGTCAGGCAAAACGTGTAATTAATGTTCCAAAAAGATGCCAAGTTAACAGCTCTAGGGACAAGTCTATCACTGAAGAAGTTTTAAATCAAGATAAATGATTTTGTAAACTTTTCCCCCCCCTCCTCTAGAACACATTTCAGGGAAGTTCTATCGCAAGCAAAGAAAGTCATTTTTGCCCTTGACTGTGAATCCAACTAATCACAGTAGCCAAACTTTGCTTCCCAGCTACCCCTCTCTGCTGTTCTTGGTAGGGGAAGAAGAAGAAAGCTTCTGTGGCTACTCCTGTTTTGCTCCATCTGCAAACACACAGACTGGACCAGCTACAGTGCCTATTTTTTTACTTGTATCATAGAAGCACCAAAGAATAAAACATTCTCAATTCATATAGCCAGGGTCATGACAAGAGTCCGCTTTCATAAAAGCCCTGAAGCAGAAGAAAAGCCTTGATACTGCCTGTTTGGAGGGCATGGGAACTTGCAAACAAGAAGTCCCAGAGTCAGTTATAGCAACGCATCCAAACTCTGGTTGGCGTAGAAGTACTAGTGCTTGCATGTTAAGATCAGTAACATTCAAACTGTGAGAATTAGAGAAGGAAGAGGAAGAGAGCGGTGATGAGGCTGGGCCTTCCCTGCTGACTAAGGCAGGTGGAGCCTCGCCACGTGACCATTTATGTCCTATTCACCAAGAGGAAGACTGGGAATTCAAAAGTCAAACATGAATTACAGTAAGGGCCAACGCTGCTGGAGAGATTCAAGAAAACAAGCATGGAAAGAAAAACAAGTTTTTTTAAAAAAGCCTACTTGTATTGACTAGCAGTGCTCTCCAGACTTCAATTAGGAGAGGGAGCGAATGATTGTACCAAGTCAGCGAGATCTTTCACAACACCATCCCAGAATAACCCAAGTATTTCTTGGTAAGTAGAGGCCAAAATATGCTGAGCGCAGAAAAACAGTGCAGCATTCAAAAGTTTGGTCCACGTGTACCTGATTCACTACCTTTCACTACTGGAGAAGTAACGGACAAAAGCGGATACTGCTGCACGAACTGTTCAACTAGAGGACATCAATACCCTCCATGCACCCTCTGCAGCCCCCCCCTGCAGGAAGAAATAAGTCTTGGTTGCTGATCAGGGCACACTGCCCAGTTTAGGATTTCCTGGACAGTCAGAAGTTTCACACAATCAAAGATCTCACATTTATAAAACATTCTGGAAAGCTCCGATTCAGTCTTCTATCAGCATGTTCTCTGAAGCAACTGGGTACCACAAGAATCTTACGTTTTCCAAAAACAAAACAAAAAACCCCAATACTTCAGTTCAGAAGCAAAGAAAACAAACTGAAAAAGATGCCTTTGATAAACTGGCAATTTTGCTTATACCTTCTTATTCTGGTTTCAGAGTACCAAGACCCCAAAAAGATAGAGAGAGGGCCTGCTGGCGCCTTGCTGGCAGCAAGTCACTTCAGTAAATACTTCTACAAACCACAGTACAGAAGAGAATGCATATTCTAGATGCTTTGCTTCTATTTTAGGTTTTGTCTGCACTGATGGATTGTTCCAATGCTTCTACATAACTTGAGGTCTCCAGAACTTTGCTCATTATAATTAAATGTACTACAGTTCAGAAAAGGAAACCTGAAAACAGCAGTTCTACTGAAAGCTTTCTTTCTCTCTTACTCTTCTTACCATCAGGCTTCTTTTTCTTCACGATTAGAGGGTGAAGCCGAAGAGAGAGGACTGCCTGGGCAACATCTCATCCAATCTACAATTTCCAGCTTCCCATTAAAACAGCAATTTGGTTAACCTCCATCGGCTTAACTCTGATTTCCTCATGATAGATGGCCAGATGTCAGAATTGGGCACCAAACGCTAACGTTTACCAGCACACTGGAGAAAAAGTGCAATGTCTATACACACAGGAAGGGTGCCAAGAGGAAGCTGCTCTATATAAGGGGAAGTCACCACAGGGATCATTAAAAAAGTCTGAAAAATGTACATAATGCTGGACAAAATTAGATTTTAAAAGCAGAACAAAGTAGTCATGCCATAGCATTAGACACGTGTCTGTATTTTTTCGGAAGACAGCACAATATTTTATATTATTTCTATCTGCAGGTTAATCTCCTGGGTTCTTTACTCCCACGGATAAGAAAAAAATTCTCATACTTCTGATATAAATAGAGAGATTGTCTTGTCCAAGAGAATGCCAGACTATCAAACAAATTCGTGAAGAAGCTCTTCCTGGGTTTGGACAGCTCTAAGACAACCACATCTCAGCTTGCTTCCCTAGATAAGCTATGCTGTTTGAAGAGCTGCAGTTTCATCTCTCTACAGCAAAAAATCTTTTTAACCATGCCACTTTGACAGTTGCTCATTCAGACAAAAATGTTTCCTAAAAGCTAAAAAACCCACTGTCTTTTGTAGAGTTTATATTCTACAGAAACTGTTCATGCATATTTATGAAGCATGCATTTCTCACGAGTTCCTCGTCTCACTTTTCTTTAAGGGATGGCCTATTTTTTGGCCTGCTTGGTCTGTTTTCATCCTTGCTTTTGCTGAGAAC